TTTAACACTTCATTATCTTGATATATGTTGAGACCCAACTTAAATTTTAAATTTGAATTTTTTTATGCTTTATTTCTTACTTTATTTTGTTATTATTCTTTTTTAGTGGAGCTATATCTGCATTCAACTTTAATAAACTTACAAACTATAATCTATTAGTTTTAGATTTTCTTTGTGATGCAATACCATTTTTTAATCGTGTACAGTGTGTTTCAGAGTGAGGAAAACAATAAAGTGAGGGAAAGAAAAAAAAATAGAAGGGAAGAAAAGTATGCAAGAAATAGAACAAAAATAAATGTTGTTTGCTTGAAAATAAATAGAGTGAAAATTAATTTTTGAGAAGTTACTTAATACAAAAGTAATAGTATTTTTTACTTGGATTTGTTTTTGAAATTTTTTCGTATTGAGGTTTTTTTATAGTTTTTACTTTGTTTTAATTTTTAATTGTTTTTCTTTTTAAATTTATGGTTTTTGTCAAAAAAATAAATTTATACGGATTTAGTTTTTATTTTATATTAGAACTTTTAAGTTATTACTTTTAGTTGTATTTTGAAATATTTTATTATTTTTTCAGACTTAATTTACATAAAAAAAATAAAAGAACATAATAAAAACAAAGGACGATTATATAATTTAATTTATAATATCAATTTATTTTGAATCCTGAATGCTGCATGTTAATGTATAATCAACCATTATATTACAACTTTTTATTTTAAACTATAAGTAATTTATTTTTAAATAATAAGATAAGAAAAACTTCTATAAGCGTAATAAATTATTAATTAAATTTGAATAATAATTTGTAAATTTAGATTATTGTTATAAAAAAATATTTTTATTTTTATTTTTGTTTTTGGAAAGATTTTCTCGCCAACTCACTCTTAAAAGAAACTGATTATGATTTTTGAACCACCATAATCAAAGTGAACAATTTTTTTATAAAAAATATTATGAGCTTAGTGCAAAAAAATAATTAATATTATTAAATTAAAAGCTTAAAATTTAAAATAGCACTCATTCTGATATTTAATTCTTTTTCTTGCACAATATTTATTATGTACATGAAGTACTTCCTCCGACCTCTTTTATAAGATACAATTACATACCTAATTCACTAATATTTAAAAAAGTTAATTAATTTAGTTCATCACATTAAAGTTGTCTTAAATTTATATTTTTCTCCAAACCACGTACCTTAACATTAATATAAGGCTGCTACTCTACCAACCATTGTTAAAATTAAGAAAATGACTTTAATTTAGAATGTTTCTTTTCAGAAATTAATTAATAAAAAAATAATTAATATTTTAGATCAATAGATTCTAATTAAAAAAAATACAAATAATACTTTGGAATTTGAAACTTATAAGAGTTACACGAGGGAGTAGTATATTGCTGGAGGCGTGCATTTGATTAATGATAACTTTTCCATGAACTTGAAACATAGGGCATGTGAACGGGAAAATTAACAATTGCGGGGAATATGTACACGTTAACAACTGTAGTTATGGACAAAAGTCATTTGGGTTACACATTCCAAGAAAATGTAAGACAAAAATATTTGGTCGACTTGTGTCTTCTAGCTATTTACCTCTGCTTGGCAACGAGGGGCTTCAATTTTTATTACAGGTTCATAACCATTAAAAGGTAAAACTGTACATGGCATAGAAGACAGAATATTAAGAAACAAGTGCATGGCTTCCTTCAAGTAAGAGCATGCAACCACTTTAAATGAATTTTACTATGTCACACCACTTAATAAATAACTTATATTATATTTTTATAATTTTTATTTTAATAAAAATTATTTATAAGTATTCTTATATGTTTTACAATGATAAATTTTTATAAAATTAATTATTATAGATAATATATAAATATAAATAATAAAAAAAGAAATTTTATAATAAAAAATTACAATAATAAAAAAAAATTACATAATAAAAGAAATTACATAAAAGAATTATAAAAAATTACAACAAATTAAGTTTAATTACAATAAAACTAGTCTAATTTACGTAAATTAAAATTACCAAAATATTTATTCTCCTAATTTACGCCTAATAAAATTACAAGTCAATTCATGATCTTTGAGTTGCTTCTCATTCATTCTAGATGTGTCCTTCATGAGAATTTCATACATTACACTAAAGTTAGCTGCCTCCTTCACTTCAACCAATTTCTTTACTACAGCACTTCTTTCTAACATTGCTTTTGTCATATTATCCAACTCTTTTTTTTTTTCGGAGAATGTTTTGACGACCTTTGCTTTACTTTTTCTCTTCGCTGCTTTTTGAGCTATTGGACGAGATATTGGTGTTGTTGAGTCATACTCTTAACAATCATTGGCTGCATCTCTGTTAGAAGACGTTAAGTATTGTCCAAATTTAGAAATCTTTGATCTTTTAAAAGAGTTCTCCATTGATTCAGATTTCCATTTTAGCTCATCTCTTAATAATAGTCATGCATGCTCAAAATTAAATTTCCCACCTACATCTCGTGAGTCAATTTTATATACATTTGCCATGATATCCTTTTCTGAGTTGCCACTTTTTTTTTTATCACGAGCTTATTTATAATATGCTACATATAATTGAACTACATTATTGAACTGATTTTTTTTTTCGACCCAATTTTGTTCAATCCCTTCAAACAGTGCCTTCCAATCGAACTTGAGAACCCTTGTGTCCTATTTATCTTCCAACACCACCGTTAATGTATACCGTCACTACATTATAATTTAATTTTTATATTTGTACATAATATACCAATAAATTATTTTCACCTAAAAAAAAAATATACCAATAAATTATATAAAATAAGGTTTTCGCAAGTCACATGCTATATATGTTAATAAGTTTCCCTTCAAAAATCAAAATATACTTATACTTAAAAGCAAACGTGGTACATATTGTTAAAGCAACTGAGACTAATCAGGACATTCTAAAAGCATAATTTTCCTGCAAAAATAAATATATATGTAGGTGAATATATCTATTTACTCTGTAGAGTTATTTTATTTAATAATTTATTGTTTATATTGAATTTTAAATTTAATTTCTAAGTTAAAATTATTTAACAAATAAAAAATTTATAAATTTTTATCAAGTAAATTAATATATATA